CATCAGTTCGAATACATTTTTTCTTAGCATCACAGCTGGATCTTCTTTACTGCGACAATTGTGGTATAGTATATAAGAAGAGGAAGTTGATAAGAAATAGAAATAGGAAGAAAGAGGACTAAGTTGGGATGGCGGAGTTAGAGTAATAGTTATATGAAGCCTACCTTAACCTTTGTTTTGAAGTTTTGCAGCAAAAAGATGGGTGCGGTTGCCTCGCTTCCCCTCTGATTATGTGTTTGCACACATTCGGATTTAATGGACTAAAACATTCGCCTTTCAGTTTACTTATTATTTTCTAACTTTCTGTTCCTTTTTTTTTTTCACTTGTCTCTGTTTTAGTTGTCACTGCCAAACCGACATAGGGTGGCCTGACACGTAGTGGTTCTAGAAGAGCTGCGTTTGCAGTGAAATATCCAGGAAGTGAGTGAAAACTTGCATGTTTTATTTAATATTCAGTTGCAAAAACAGTCACTGTGGGTCAAAGACGAATAATTTTTGGGAATTATTAGCGATAATTTGAAAAAGTTACTTTAGAAAACGAAAAACTAAATCAGAGAACTTTTGTGCAGTATGTTTTTACACTCTTCTTGTTTCTGTGCGATGCAAAAACGCATGCTGTGGTGTGTTTGTGTGTGTGTGTGTGTGTATGTATGTATGTATGTATGTGTGTACACCTATATTTGCATGCATCGTTCAGTTTTCAGATCGACGGGAGCTATGAGGTTTAAAAATTTTGACTGTCTATTCCTCGATTTAGATGAGACTTGAGGCACAAAATAGGCGTGCAGGTCCCTGTACATTTCCCGTGAGAAAGTTAATGCTGATAATTTCGTAATTTTGCAACAAAATAGCTAGAGGGCCGAAGTTTTGTGGGGTTAGTCGAAAACCATGTGTGAATGTGTATAGCTAGAGTCATTTTTCATGTTCTTTTACATCTCACGTGCAAAAACGTGGGACTTGACTCTGGCAGTTTTGTGATTCGCCTTGCAAAAAACGCTTACACGTGCCGGTTTTCTGGTGCAATCCGCAGTTGACTGAGCATGCTTCACCAAACTGTGGGT